TAGAGGAAGGCCGGTTCTGGCTGGGCCTCAGGAAGAACCTCTTCACTGTTGGAGTGGTATGACAACGGAAGCGCTTCCCTAGGGAGGTGGCAGGCTCACCCATGCTGGAAGCATTCAAAAGTTAGTTGGACAGCCATCTGTCAGAGATGCCTCAACTGGAGTCCAGCACTGACCCGGGGCTGGACTCACTGGCTTCATAGCTGCTTCCTACTCTACTATTCTATAATTCTATCCATTACTAAAGTGCTACACCAGACATTTATTTGCACACATTTGTTGTGTTGCAATGTGGTGCTGGAGGAGAGCTTTGTGTATTCCTTGGACCAACAGAAAGAAGAACAGGTAGGTCCTAGATAAAACCAAGCCAGAGCTTTTTCTAGAAGTAAAAATCACAAAACTGAGGCTGTCATACTTTGGACACATCATGAAAAGGCAAGACTCCCTGGACAAGACAATCATGTTGGGGAAAGTCAAAGGCAGAAGAAGGAATATCAAAATAAGAGTTAGATTTACTCCACAAGGAGAGCCATTGCCTTGAATTTAGAACAGTTAAATGGGACTGTCATGGATAGGACACTTTGGATAGATTTTATTTATAGGGTTGCAATAAATTGGAGACAATGTGAAGGCATATAACAACTCATCTAATGCTAACTTTACTCTCAACACATACATTTAATGAAAACCCTAACCTTCTTCTCTATTATTGAAATATGGACATTGGCATTTGTCTTACTGGAGTAAATCTAGATGTTAATCCAAAATACTTGAAATCATGAATTCAGGCTATTCAAAAGGCATTTAAATTCTTAATAAGCAACTCTTAATTTAAAAATATTTCATTTCAAAATAGAGTTGAAAGCAACATGGAAAATTCATCATGATAAAATACATAAACTGATAATTACTAAATGTTTCCCTTTCTTAAATTCTAAGAAGCTCACAGATGTCTCCAACGAGCTGATCATATGGGGTGATGGTCAAACATTGTTATCAATATTCCAATCGTCATATTGAAAAATACCACAAAATTCCCCATGTTCATTACCATTCTCAGGATGTGTAGGGAACTGTGATGATATATGAACCTAGGCACACCCCGCCCCCAGATTGAGTATTGATAAAGCTATGGTTATACTTTCCCTTTTTTTTTTTTTTTTTGCTTTTATTTATTCATTTTTACAACTAAGAAAATCAATACAATTAACACAATAACAATTATCACTAAACATCACTGATCAAACAACACATCAACCTCAGTGCTACCTCCAACAGGACCAACAACTCTAAGTACTTAATGTAAGATCATTTATTTATCCAGGTTGCCCCACTTCCCCTTCAGAACTGCATTGACTCTTGTCGTTGTTCACACACCTTTCCTTTTATACTTTCCCATTCTAATAATCTAATCTATTCCTTTTAAACATGTCAGTGATTTAGATATTTGAAATCAATACTTAGATATTTGAAATCATTCTGTTTTCTATCCACTAACTGGATTTTATCCACCAATTGCAGCACCCCAAAACACCCCAAAAGTAGTTGACCAGAGGAAGGCCACATACTAAAAACACCACAGTTATACTGTCCCAGAAGGGAGGGGCGATAAGAACAAAATGAACTGTGTGTAACCCACATCCAACACGCTAGCCTGACCTGGAATGCAGTAATCCAAGGGACAGTGGACACTGGTTCTAACCGCCATGAAAGTTGCAAATGTGCAGGAAGTAAGAACATGGCAAGCCCGTGTGAATCTCGAGCGGATAAGAAATAGGCATGGTAAATGTCTGGTCCTCGGCAGAAGACTCTTTGAAGCTAATAGCAGTGGGGGTGTGGCTACACTGATGTATCGATGCATTAGAAGTATATTAGGTGACCTAATTACTTACCTAGGGTACAAAATGCAAGTGCTGGAGTGCACCAGACTCATCCAGCCGGGCGGAAACGGCCGCCGAGGAGAACGGTTCCGCCGTGCCGGAAGTGCGGAAAGGTTGCGCGTGACGCGGGGGGCGGAGGCGGCGGGGCAGAGGCTGAGGGGGAGGCGAGGCGAGGCGACGGCGGCGCGTGAGGGGCCGAAGAGGATGAACAACAAATTCGACGCGTGAGTCGGAGGCGTCGCGGCCTTCAGGCAGGGTCCTCGCTTTGGACGGCTCCGCCCGCCCCTTCTCCCCGCCGGGTGGGGAGGAGCCCCTCGGCCTGGGAGGATGCGGGGAAGGAAGAGCAGGCCCGGCCGAGGCGCCTCTTGGGCCCTGTGCGAGCGGCTTCGAGCCCCCGCGTAGGCAGCTTGTCGCGCAGGGGGATGCGGAGAAGCTGCGGCGGCCGAGCGCCGCGCCGCCCGCACGGCCTTGAAAGGCACAGGACGCCCCTTCTCCTCCTCCTCCTCCTCCGCCGCGGCAGCTGCTCCCTGCGGCGCTCTCTTCGCCCGCGGCCTGAGAATAATTCGGCGTTTTCTGTCGGAATGGATGTGGAGGTGCCTCACCCTCTGCCGACCTATCTAGGCCAGTACGGCCTGCATGGAGTGGCAGTGGCCCCTTGGGATTTCAGGCAGGGGTCTTTTTAGGCCTCCCTGGAATCGGACCTGGGTTCGTAGGAATGTAGGCAGCTGTCTGGGTAATGCTGTGTGGTAGGAGCCACTCTCCTGGGTTTCAGGAGGAATATTTCCGAACCTTCCTGGAGGTGCTGGAAAATCAATCCCCAGAACCTTTTATATACGGTGTAGGTGCTTTATGGTGGGAGGGGAAGGGAAGGGAGAGGACTTCATTCATATGGAAAAAATGGCAGCTGTTACAAGAATCCCTAACAGATAGCAGGCATGGAAGAGCCTTGCAGCACCTGAAAGACTGCTGGCTTTATTATGGCGCATACTTGCAGATTTGGGTTCTACAGCATGAAAGATTAGGCAGTCATAAATTTGTGAGTTGTAAAAGGCCATGAGAGGCCATTATATCTGGGGAGGGACTGTAGCTTGATGGTGGGAATAAACTAGTCTAAGTATCAGGACGTAGCTCATGGGAAAAGTTTCTCTCTGCTTGGGACCCTGAAGAACACAACCTGTTGATTTTTGCCAGGTACATAGCGTTCCAAGAGAAAACCTCTGCCCTGTGTAAAGGTGGAAACATACCTGTGATGAGAGGAGGTGGTGGCTTGGTCCTCTCACTAAAGTTGTGCAATGCCTGGCCTGCCATATGTCTTCCCCGGAAGGCCCAAGAAGAAGAAAATGACTTGGTCTCCCAGTACTGGGCAAAACAAACTGGTACTCCCCAACATAGCAACCACTGGATGTTTCTGAGTACAGCTCCTCTCAGCCCTGACTGCTGGTTTAATGCTGGTGGTAGTTGATGCCCTCCAAGTGCTTTAGACCACATGACGAGCAAGGCTGGAGTGGATGGACCCGTTTAGCAGCTCCCAACCTTCCTATGTTTGGGGGCTGAGAAACGAACTGCTGAAATATGATGTGATTCTGAAATGTTTAGGAGAAGCAGCTGCCAGGGAGGCCAGCACAATTCTCGTACTCTTAATAATTATGTGGAAGAAGGGAATTTTAGCTGTTGAAGTTTTTCACACAGAGGTAAAGTCAAACCTGCCAAAATACCTTGTGTTACCCATTACTTAAGGGTGTGCTGTTTGCACGGAGCCAGTGCACTTCTCCACATATCTCCCTCCTTTGATGAGTGACAACAGGAAAGTGCCTGTTCAGTGGGGACACCCATATTACGGAAAGCCTGCCGTTGCCGTTGCTGCATGGCACTTTCATTGCTCCCTTCGTATAATATCTGGTTCCTAGTGTCCTATCATATAGTGTGTGGTGGGGAAACAGATAACTAGGTGGAGTTATTGGTCCTGCTGTGTTCTGTGAGATAATCCAAATGGGTTTCAGTCTTGGCACAACTGAGCAGGGGCAGAACCTGAGCTTTACTCCAGACACTATGGTAATCAGAGCAGTTCAGCACTCTCCTTAAAAGGGTGTCCTTGAGCTCAGTCTCTTATCAGATTGCCATTTAGTTTGTGTTTTTAAAAAAGTGTTAATACAATGTTCTTGTTTAAGTAGCTCAGGGCAGTGTACATGGCTCATCTATTTTATCCTCACAATGATCCTGTGGTATAGGTTAAACAAAGAGATATTAACTGGTCCAAGATAATTCAATAAGCTTTGTTGCTGAGCAGAAATTTGAACTTGTTCTCTCCTAGACTAAATTGGATGCCAACCATTACTCCAGGGGGGTGTGAATCTGAATTTTAAGATGGCAATGTGGTAAGAGTAAATCTGCTCCTAGCAATGAGTGTTATGGTTTGTACTGCATTTTATGAGTCTTCTTTCTGTGCATACCCCACCCTTCAGTATTGGGCATTTTGCTAGTCTTGAAGGAAAGAGAAATACCTTAAAAGTCAAAGAAGGGCCAGGTTCCTGCCAAGAAGGAACAGAAAGGCCCTAATAGAAAAGCGGTGAGATTTCTGTACGGGTTATATAATTATATATGAGTATCTGTAGATGTGAAAATATAACATCTTTTCTCAATTCCAATTTATTTGTTCTGTGATGGTGCCCACTCACTATTGTGTAAATTGAGCCATACTTTGGAGGTTTACACTTTCAAAAACCTAACAAGATTTGCATGAATCAATTTGTACCATTGCTGAAAACAATGTAGTTTTAGTGCAATTTGTGCAAATTGCACTAGAATTGTATGGTTTCCAGCTTCCAATTTGAACAAATAACACTATTGCACAAATTTCCTTTGGATTTTTCTTTAAACTACAGACTGTGTGTAAATTGTTACCGCTTTTTAAAATATATTCTGTAAACTGTTCTGAGATCTTGTCTAATTGAACAACATAGAGATACCTTAAATAAATAAATAAACAAACTGTAAGTCATTTCAAAGATAAGACTTGACATCATCCATTGAGCTCAAATGAGCCAGGCCTTACAGTGTCCGCGCCTTTCTGTTAGTGTCCTTAAACTGGGAGCACATAGCTAATACAAAATTAAAGTGTATAACAGAAACTGGTGTGCCAGCATAACCGTTAGACCCATGCTGTGTGCTTCCTGTTCGCCATTCTCCTGAGGTTGGATTTCCACACTGGCTGACAAGGTCCTGGTGCAAGGAAGTGATGCAGCTACTTCAGGTAGCATAAGAAGGATGGCGAACGGGAAGCATGATGGCTGGCATCCAAAGCAACCTGATCTGTGGAGGCGTCGGTTCCTTGTAAAATTTTCTCCCCACATCCCCATGGCCTGTCTGTTGTGCGGGCACTTAAATTTTTGCTTGTAAATGAGGACAGCAGTCCACACATGGTTTCCAAGTGATTCTTGTCTTTTCTTCTTTGCCAGTCTGAAAGATGACGACAGTGGAGATCATGACCAGAATGAAGAGAACAGCACACAGAAAGATGGTGAGAAGGAAAAAAACGATAGAGACAAACCCCAAATTAGCACCAAAAGGAAGGTACATTCTTGCCTCTTTATTGTAGACCAGATTGTCACATCTAATGGATGTTTTTGAGAGTGAATTAGCCTGTAACTTCAAAGTCAGGAGAATACTTGTGGATAATTCTGATTAAAACTCTCCTGGCTCACGTATCAATTTCTCCTTAACACAAATGCAGAATGAGTTATTTTGAAAATAGAAACAGTTGTGCGGGTCACATGAAGGTGAAACTACAACAGTACACAAGTCTGGAAGATGAGGAATTGATCCATTGTATGGTTTTTTATGGTGCATTTGATCACTGTGTGACCAAGAAGCAGGACCAAAAGACATACATTCTTAAAGGCTAAGGTCACCTGGAGAAAGGTAGAGATTTGATTTCCCAACTCCAGTGGGTTTTTTTTTTTTTCAAGGGTACCCTTTGGCATTCTATATATGAAAAGGGTTGTCATTTGTTCCTTTGGGGAGAATAAGTTCTGCGCTTGGAGACACTAGTCATGGGGGCAAGGATGCCCATTACTCCTCACAGAAGTCCACAGGGTCCCAAGCCTCACTGACAATGGACTCTTGACTCTGCAAGGCCCCTTGCCATATACAGGCCCCCTTTCTGTGTGCACATTTTGCCAGCCCTGGATAAACTTGAGATTCAGCCTGTTAAAGTATTTGGTTGCTCTGTAGTGAGCTCCTTGATTGCACCTGGCATTGGCCTGTGCCACCTTCCAATGAGGCCTCCTTAACCTGTCTTCTCTTAGTGGACTGACTTCTTGCACCGTGGCCCAAGACTGCTGGACTCTTGTGTTCTCTGCTGCTGTCAACTGCCCAGAGAGCTTCGGCTGTTGGATGGTATAGAAATTAAAGAATAAAAATGATCTCTCTCCCACCCGTATTCTGAGACTTTTGGCTCTCTTTGCGCCACACTGAGGCCAAAATTGCCCCTAGCTTGAATTAATTGCACACCATCTCTGTCTTAAATGCTTTGTTTGCTTCTTGCAGAGCCATCAGAGCTGACGCTCATGGCAGACAGATGCTGTGGGACCTTTTGCATCTGGTCTGTGTATTTCTGTAAAGTCTGCAGTTCCCAAGGTCTTTTCACACAATAAATGCAGTCCAATAGAAGCCCTCTGTGTGGCACTCAAAGGCATCTTCTTTGTGTGAATCCCTTAATTCATACATACATCTAAACAGACACTTTTTTAACCTCTGGAACCTTCCCCCAGGTGCCAAATCCTCAAAGAGGCTTAGAGGGTGGCAATGAGGGAAAGGGTCTTTTCTGTGGTGGCCACACATCTTTGGAACAGCCTTCCTGCTATGGCCTGTCTGGTGCCAAATTTGCCATCTTTTCAGAGCCAAGCCAAGACAGTCCTCTATGTGAAGGCCTTTAAAGATTTCTTTGGTCATTCAGGGGCTGGAGGGAGTTATCCAGGTGCTTTTTCTTCTTGCTGGATGTTTTATTGTATTTTTACAGTATTTTAAGCTATTTTAAATTATTTCTAACTTTTTAATGTGGCTTTATGCTGTTTGCATTGTATTTTTACTGTTTTATACTTGTCTAACCTGGCCAGAAAGCTTCGGCATTGGGGCAGTGTAGAAATGAAATAAATCATCAGTGGTATTTAGAACAGAATGGTTACCAGCCTGGCCTCCTGCATGCAACTAGAGGAGCTTAAGCAGAAGACTTGGCTAACCCCAATAGGGAATAGAATGAACTGATTCTACAGGTTACTGAGGCAAGTGTGACTATGGCCTCCTTGATAGAACATCCATGGACTTGTCACACAATGTGTATGCAGGTCCTGAAGAAGAGAATTGCTTTCTCCTCTAAAAGGAAGAAAGAGCGCTTTGTATAAAAGTGAAATACTCAAGATTATATCATACGCTAGCATGACCAAGAGATGCAACCCAAGGTGGCTGGCTATTTATTTATTTGGCGTTTTTAGATGCCATCCCAGCCACATAAGCCTCAGGACTGCTTCCAACAGCTAGACAGAGTTTCCCATGAATCCTGTTCAGTTCTATAGGGAAAGGAAATGGGCTGTAAGTGAGAAGGAACCTAATGTTGTGGGCCACTCAGCAAAACAAAGCACATCAAGGTTCATTCCTCTACATCCCTGAAACATGCAGATAGTCGTCTTTGGGTGGTATAGAAATGAAATAATACTTTGCTAATATGCATGCAAATGCCAGCAGAAGAGGTTTCATCTCAGGTGTACCCAAGAAGCCGAGCCCTCGGCTGGAGCTCGATAGGAGCAAGCTTGAATCTTGATGGCTGGGATTACCCAGGATTCGCCACTGTGAAGTTTATTTGTTTACTTTTCTAAATAGGGGAAGCAGCCAAGAAAAGGCCTTCGTCCACTGATTTTTTCCCTGGGCTTCTTTCAGTAGGCAGCCTTCTCACACGCACACACCCTGCTTGTCGTGGTAGCAGCTACAGCATTGGCGCTGGAGGCACCGCAGAGGTGCATCGAAAGCCTGTGGTGAGAATAAGGAGGAGTGGTGTCTCGTGCTTACAGTCATACTCTTGCAGCTGTTTCTGGGGAGGGAAAACCAGATTCTCTTGGTTTCCCCCACTCTGTACTGGGAGCTGGGTTTGCTGTGTTTTGACCTGGCCTGACTAGAAAGTGAACAACGTTGTTACAACGTTGCACAAATTGCCATCATTTGGTGTTTGTTCTCTGGTAAGCCTTGTGCAGTGTTTTTCGGATCACCTTGTTTCTGTTTTACTTGCTCTGACTAGCAGTAAGTTATGTCAGGATATGTTATGTCAAAGAATCAGGCTATGACTAGTGTCTTTGAGCCCACTGCAGATCCTGGAATCCCAGTGGGAAACTCATTCAAACCATTTCTTGCCATTCCCTGGTTTCATAAAGTATCATGGAAGGAGTGGTTTTGGGAAGCTTGTATACTCGTCTAAAACAATGTGTGATGAATCCATCTTAGGGCTAAAAAAGTAAGAGCACCTGCTCTGGATGATTTGAGGAAAGCCAAAATGCAGTAATGTTTTTTTCTGTTGTGCAATCAATGTACACTTTCTTCTTAGTTTCTGCTAAATGCTAGGAAAACTCACATCATTCTTGGGTCCAGAATTCACAATGAATTTCTATGACACTAGATGGGAAAGGTATGGAAAAGCTACTTTAGCTATAGCTATGGGATATCTTTCAGTTAATGAAGGTTTTACTGATTACCACAAGGTTATCCAAGAACAGAAGCCTGTATTTTGAAGAAAGTGAAAGAATTTGAGTTTATACTAGAACTTTGCAATCATAAATTCAATCAGTTCCTCAAACCCAGCAAGGCTCTACAGATTGGCCTTAGCACATATGCAAACTTTACACATCACTCTATTATTCTGTGAAAAAAACAGAGTTTTCATGAAATTGAACTCAGAGCAAAAGCAGACCTAATGCAGACTCAAAGTGTGTGGATAACAGGAAAAGTAAAGAACAAGCCAAATTGTTGCTAGTAATACCCTAATGCTGATGAGAGGCTTTCCCCGAGAGACAAAGTTCATGTAAAATCATGTAGATAACGGTATTTATTAGATTTCTGTGCTACCTTTTTCTTTTCTTTCTTGTGTGCTCCAGATTGCCCATCTGCCTGGAACACTTGGGGGGCGAGGAAGGGTGCTGGAGAGACCTTTGGGCAGTCCCTCCCCTTCACGCCCCCCAAAACACATCCTTCTCCGAGGCTGAATGCCTGACCAGCACGTTTCTTTATCGGGCGCCTCTGAGGCAGGGGGCGTTCGGCTCTTCAGTTCCCCCTCTGAGCTTGGAGCATTGTTCCCAAGCTCAAATCAGGGCGTCCGAAATATCCAGTGTCCCCTCAGATGTTGCTTCGGGGCCATAGGATTGCTTTCTAAATGACTTTTCCACTTCCGTTGCCTAAGCACTAATCTCTAAAGTTCTTGAGTTCATTACATTTAATGTCTTCAATTTCATATATTCTAAGTAAAAAACTGTGAGGTGTTTTCATTGAAAGCTATACAGTAATGGATACAGGATCACTGCAGGTCTGTATGTGTTTTATTTAGAATACCAGTATTATTTTTTCATTACAAGCTATTCAGCTACTTCCATTAACTACTTTCTGATCTCTGTAATTGCTGTTGTGTTTCTATAAAATAAGTGTCCTCGATTTTATATATAATAATTGAGGCATCATAAGGTATCTGCTCATGTACATAAAGCCTTTTTGTAAGAAGCATGTATGATTTCATTGTTTTTCATTGCATCTTTGTCTATGTTTATATGCAAATATAATGGTTTACTATTTATTTTTTCATTACCCCTTCCTTTATAACGTAGTATACTTTTTTCTCTGCTTTTTATGGTACGGAGCATCTTTCTTGGCATGGCTCAGGGCCTCCATATCTTAATATGGGCTTGGTTCTCCTGCAGTCGGAGGCACAGAAACGTGTGTCAGCAGGGTTCACGAACCCTTGTCTGATGAGTTGCTCTTAAGAAACAAAATGTCCCTCATGGGGCCCATCCTCTTCCAGCTTGGAGAAACTCAAGCACATGGAGGATTGCTAATCTCTTGTTTGAAGTATAGTCAATTCCTGCCGACTAATGGTCTCTTTCAGGCTATTAACAGAGATGGAATTTCACAAAGAAAATGAGGCTAAACGGTTCTTTCACGCTCTGTGATGGCGGGAACAGGGCAGGCTCCTAATGCTGCAAATGTCTCTTTCAGTCTTCTGTTTAGAGAAGTGCGTAAAGATAAACGAATGCTTCAATTCCACACGCAGGCTGCGGTTCCAGGGCCGGCTGAGCACCCCCTGCAGTATAATTACACCTTCTGGTACTCCAGACGGACACCCGGGAGGCCCACCAGCTCCCAGAGCTATGAGCAGAACATCAAGCAAATTGGCACCTTCGCCTCTGTGAGTGCACCCCTGTTCTTGCTGCGTGTTTAGCTGGGCTCAGTGTAGCCTGTGTGTGTTATCTGAACATGGGCAGATATGGAGCGGCGCAGTAGCTGAGCGAGGGGGCATGTGTTCTGCACGCATAAGATTCGGGGTTCAGTCCAGTGCATCCTTGCCTTGCAAGAGACCATGAAGAGTTAGTACAGGTCAAAGCAGACCGTGCTGAGGGAGACGGACCAAGAATGGATTCGAAAGCATTAAACTGTGTGTTTGTGGGGGGGGGGGGGGAGTACTATCGCATGTAGAGGTCAGAGCAGCATATTTGGGGTTCTGAGTGCTAGCAGGTCCCATGCTTCTTGAAATGAGGAGCTCTCCATCTGGCTCATCCATAAAATAACATGGAGACAGTGGGCAGAAAGCAGATTTTTCTGCCTCCCTCATAGTGAGGCCCAAACTTGGAGTTTCCCACTGAAATTGGCAAGACAGTTTAAAGGAAGTGCTTGGTTGCACGGCCCATTACTTACGGAACTCGCTGCCAGGAAAGGTGGCAATGGCCATTAGCTTTGATCATTTCCACAAAGGGCCAGACTAATTCATGAATGGCAAGTTTCCTACTATTCATCAGTTGTGACAGTTGAATGGAACCTCCCTGTGCAGAGGCCATGCCTGCCTCCGGCTACCCAGTGCCAGGAGCAGTGGCAGGGTAGCAAAGGGCAAGCTCCACTTACATGCTTCTGACAGCATCTGGCTGGCGCCTTGTTAGAAACAGGAAGCCTGACATAAGGAGCTTTAGGATCTGGTCAAGCAGGAATGGGTCTAAAGTTTCCTCCTTTCCAGGTACATCCAGCTTTCCAGTTTTCCACCCTGAAGGCTGTCTCTATTCCCCCCCCCCCCACAACACGGAGTAGAGCTTTCCAAGAGCTTTAAAGGCAGGGGTGGGCACCAGGCTCTTATATGGCTGGTGATTAGGGAGATGGGCGCATAGTCTGGCTGTATCTGGAGGGCTGCAGATTCTCCACCTGTACTGGAAAGCATCCAGAAACACCGTGCCTCAAAGAGTGAAAACAGTAGTGAGGAATGTGTGGTTCTCCAGCTTGTGGTCCGGTATAGCCAAAAGAGGGATTATGGGATGTAAAGGCTATGAAAAGTCTAGAAAGTTGCAAATGATCGCCTCTCGCCTCCACGGAAGAGTGACTTGACCCAGGTTTATCTTTTCTTACACGTTTTTGTGCACGTCAAGCTTAAGCCCTGGAATGTCAGGTGGACATTTTGATGTTAGTACACCATGGGAAAAAACTTGATGAACAGGTTTGGAGCACTGAAACTCTATGGACGGGAGCCCAGGTGTTTAAATGGTGAAGGAGGAGTGGTTGGGAGATGATTCAGACACAATTTACGTAGGTGTTCCTCTTCTCCAACTCCTGAACTTCTGCATTCAGTTTTGTTCTTCAGCCAGCTGAATGGGACCTTTGCCCTCTTTCTAGCAGCCTAGCTGAAGTCCTTCACAAAAAGCAGTTAACAATTGGAATGGCCGGGATGTGAGGAAGCCCTGAGGAGGACCTGCTGCAGGAAGTTGTGGTGCGCGGTGCTCCCATTCAGCATCCCACTTTCTTGCAGGATACTCCATTCCATCCATGTCTTTTTCCCTTGGAATTAGGATTCTGTAGCCACTAAGCCTATTTAATTTCCATTGGATTGTTTGCGAGAGAGTTACGAGGGTTGTCAGCTCAAAGTTTCTAGTCCGTCCCCCCCCCCCCCTTTTACAAACCTCAGGCTCCTCCGCATTTGTTCTTGCCCACTTCTCATTTCTTAGTAGCCTCAGTTGGGCTCCATCACAGCTCAGCTGAGTTTGTTCCTGACCTATCTGCTTGGGTCCCACAGCAAAATGTTGCAGCGTATCCCTGGTGTCCCTCTGACTGCGGGGCTGAAAAGGCTGAAGTTAGCATCCAGGGCACCAGTTTAACTTGGCTCCCATGCAAAATATATTTATTGAATTTGGTTTTTAACATTTAAAAGGGCAACTGGTCTGCATGCCAACCAACAGAGTATGAGGCTGCTGCTGCCGCTCTTGTCAGGGCAATCACAAAATACAGTTGGGCTCCCAGGTTCAAATTACCCTGGGCAGCAAGCCAGAGGCTACTTTGCTTTGCTTTAACTCAGGCCTGCTCCCAACTGAGTCTCCTTTTAGGAGAAAGATGGACTGTGTAGAACAGAGAAACAACCTCTCCCTTTGAGCACTCTCTCCCTGTGGAAGTTGCTTCTGGTATCTGGAAGTCAGCTGAGGAAGAGCCAGTCTAAGAAGGAAGGGGAGTAAGATTCTGGACAGTAGCTTCTCACAAACCCCCAAAATAGGACTCTGCTCCTCAGTAGTGCTTTGTAACTGATCGGTCTGGACCTAGCATTATGCCAGTGGTTCTGTTGACATCAAGTATAGACTGAACCTTCAGCAGAAATCCACTGTGCATGCTTAACCTGCGTTACGCTTCAGTGAAGTTCGTGGAGCTTATCTGTAAGTAAACATGCAGAGAATTGTGCAGTAAGTCCAGTAAGCTCTACAGAGTAGCACAGATATTCAGTTCCTTGTGGTTTGTCCCCTGGGGGGCAGCAGTGCTCTTCAGAAGCAACAAAGCACAGTCAAGAGAAGCCGTTCTGATATCCAAGACAAATTGTTTCCCAGTGTCTGCAACTGGAGGAGCTCTCTGCCCAGTTCCTGCAAGCTCCAAAGCCAGAGTCCCTTTTCACAGGGGAAGCAATGTGTGTTATACAGCTCTGTAGAAAGCTTGTGGGAATTCTGGATTTTAAGGGAGGCAGACCAACCCCTTAGTAACAGGGCTGACTGCTGCAGCTTAAGAGGTGCTTTTGAGGTTCTGAGATGCAGTGCTGCTGCAGAACAGAGAGACAAGGCTACATCCTTACTCCAGCTAGGAGCTGTTACGTGCCTCTGTGGAGAAGCAAGAACAGATACAAGCTGTTTTCCACGCTGAGCAACAGTGGCGGGAATCGTTGATCCATCCACGTTGGGGAACGTGGGATTAATAAATGACACCTGTGAAATTGCTGGCCTCTGGCCTAACTTTTTGCAGGGTTTGCAGCTCCTGTTCCTTCCACATTTCCTTCCAACCCTCACTGCTAGGGTTCTGATGCAGTCTAGCCGTCTGATCAGAGTATTGCAGGAGTTTGACTCCACACCACCCAATGCCATTGTGATAACAAAAGAAGATGCAGAATTCAGAGAAAGCCTTGTGTGAGCCACTGAATAGGTGGAGCAGGTTGCTGCTCTTCAAATGAGGAACACTTAAAAGAAAGTTAGAATTTAAAGGACTCTGTGGGGGTGGAAGCTAAAATAAGAAAAGAGTCCTGCCTCTTCTTTTTCTTAAGATTTTTCCCCTTTTTGGGATGGGAGCAGGGAAGGCAAAGGTGTCCCTGACCTTTAAAAAGCATCAGGTGCTTTAAGGCTCAGGTGCCTTATAGCCATCTACAACCAGACTCTGGAAAGAAAATTGTTCTGGGGAGGTTTGTCTGACTCACATGGTGCTTGTTACAGGTGGAGCAGTTCTGGAGGTTTTACAGTCACATGGTCCGTCCTGGTGACCTGACCGGCCACAGCGACTTCCATCTTTTCAAAGAAGGAATTAAGCCCATGTGGGAGGTGAGTCTGATACCTGCTTAAGGAGACTTGGGAAACCCAGTCACAGGGCCAGCTCAAGTTCTGCGGGTGTAGGTTAGTTTTCTAATATGGAAAAGAGCTGGATTTGGACTCGGGTTCAGATAGCTGCAGGTTGCATGGTTCCAGTGGGTGGCCTTGTGCAAGCCAGAATCCCTTCATGTCCGACAGTTTTCTGTCTGTCGAATGAGAGCAATGGCTTTCAGCCAGGGCTGCAAAGAGACAGCTAAGATGCCTGCAGCCCCTTGTTACCTTGGTGCAGAATTCTCATGTTGAAATGTTCATATGCATTTTTATGAAATACAAGAGCACCTGTTTTTAAAGCCATCTTTCACTTGTCCCTGTGAAGCATGCAGAGAGTCGGCAGACACTCTTGCTGGGAAAACGATCTGGTTCTGCCCCTGGCACCCCACTGGTCCAGCCTTTATTCTTTGCACTGTAAACCAGTAAAAAAAACAGTGGGTGGCTCACCTGTTTTCTTCCTTACCCTCTTCCCAGGACGATGCCAACAAGAACGGTGGCAAATGGATTATCCGCCTCCGAAAGGGCTTGGCCTCTCGGTGCTGGGAGAACCTTATTCTCGCAATGCTGGGAGAACAGTTCATGGTGGGAGAAGAAATCTGTGGGGCCGTCGTCTCCGTTCGCTTCCAGGTGCGTTGTCCCAGGGGCGGTGGGCGAGTCAGGCCTGCTGGTCAAGGTGTGGGAACTTCTCGTGTATTCACCTCCCACCGGTCGCCCTGCAGGAGGACATCATCTCCATATGGAACAAGACCGCGAGTGACCAGGCGACCACCGCCCGGATACGGGACACGTTACGACGAGTGCTCAACCTGCCCCCCAACACCATTATGGAGTATAAAACTCACACCGACAGCATCAAGTACGTACAGGGTGGAGGCGGGGTGGGGAAGTCCTGGCTGTAGTGCGCTTGTCTCGGCCCTGTCAATGTGGTGTGCAGCTTGGAAAAGAAATGGAGCTTTGCGCATATGCTAAGTCTGTCGAGCGCTGACTACTGTCTTTGTGGCTAACAGAGGCCACCTCAGGGTGCTTCCAGCTTCTGCTCTCGTCTGTTTTGCTCCGAACGTCTCAGCCCCTTTTCTGTCTGCTCTGACAGACCTCACTCAGTCATTTGCAGGCTCTGTACCTTCAGAGGACCCCTCCCATGTCTGTTGGCTTGCTGAGGAGCCCCTGAGCATCGGGGCATTCTCAAGGGGGTCCAGGTTCACACTCGCCTTGTGCAGGGTGTTTGCTGGGCCGCTAGGAACTTGCCGTCACCCCACAAGAACTGGGAGCTCCTCTTAGGGTGCGTCCAAGGCTCACCTGCAGGGGAAGGTCTCTGGTGGCGAACAAGGGTCTTGGAGGGAAGCTCGTCTGTCCTTGCTGATCTTCTCACTGAGGACTCCCCAAAAAAGGTCCCCTGAAATTCCTTGAGCTGCTGGCCTGCTGCTTTGTAGATGGACAGGCTTTTGCTTTCCCCTGTTCCAAGTCAAGGTGGCAGGGGAGGGCTGCCCCCCGCATTATTTGAGTGCACTGCATTCCTGGAGAAATAAAATGCAGGAGCTAACAGGGATTTATACACCCATTAGATTTATAAATGTTCTCAGGAAGGCGCTATGTAAATTTACTGCGCTGTACAAATGATTTCTAATCATAATAAATGCTGTATATTAAATCCTCCCAGCCCCCCAGTGACAGAGGCTCTTTAACTAGAACAGAGGATTATAGTACACAGAGAGGACAGCTGTATTTTAAATAAGACCATTACAGTTTACCATGCCAAGCCATTCAAGATGACTTTTATTTTCCTGCAAAGTGATGAAGGATCCCGACATATTTAAGAGCTTTCAGAGTGGGGATGAAGAACGCAAAAAATGGTTTCACTTAAGTGCACCATAAGCAAAGAAGCAGATTGGGTCACCTGGGTTAGCAATGATGAGTCCAACCAAAGAGGATGAAAAGAGAAGAACTTGTTTGAGAATTTTTCCATCCAGTCAGTGAATGGGGGCAGGGGGGCGGTGTCTGATGTGGGCCTTTTCTACTCCCGCTCCCCAACAAGAAGCTTGCTGTGGCTCTGTAGAGGGAGGCAAGACCCTCAAAAGGAGGCGCCCAGAACAAATGCAAGAATGGCCCTGTTGGATCAGAGCAGAGGTGCGTTAAATCCGGCATTCTGCTTCCCACAGTGGCCAGAAAGAAAAGCCCGGCTGCATCAGGCCAAAGGTCCATCCAGTCCAGCGCTCCATCCACACAGTGGCAAACCAGCTGCCCAAGGAGCCCTCAGGCAGGATGGGTGCAAGGCCTCCCCATGCCCAAGCTCCCCAGCAAGTGGGGTGTGCAGGCTGGCCATCCCTGGTCAAGGAGGGAGCACATGGCCAGCAAGGCTAGTAGCCACTGATTGCCTCCTCCCTTGGGAAGCTATCCAGTTCTTTGTTAAAGTCATGGGTGGCCATCGCCACTTCCTGTGTCAGCAGATTCCATAGTTTAACTATACTCAGAGGAAGCCCTTCCTCTTACCTGTCCTAAACCTTCCACGAATCAGCTTCCTGGAATGACCCCAGGTTCATGTATTATGGGAGAGAAAGAAAAATGTTTCCTCCTTCACTTTTTCCACACCATGCATTATTTTGAACCCCCTTTTCATGTCTCCCCTAATTTGCCCTTTTGCTAAGCTAAACAGTCCCAGCTGTAGCCTCTTCTCAAAGGGAGTTGCTCCAGCCCCCTGATCCATTTTGTTCCTTTCTCGGTACTTTTTCCAATCCACAACACCTCAGGAAAGCTCGTAGCTAGAATGTGATGCGGACCGCCACCTCCTTCGTCATTTGTCCCCAGCTTCTGATTATCAGAAGTGTAGTGCAGCTAAGCAGAAAGCATCCACGTTTGACCTGAATGGTTAACACCCCTAGTAGATCTATCCTTCCAGAGGCTTCCTTATAAGTTGCTACGTTAAGCTGCTGTTCTTTAGTTTGCTTTCCCTCTTCTGTTTCTGTTGTGAAGCCCAGAAAACGAGTGACCCCACTGGGTGACCGTTTCTTGCTGTGACAGCACCCCTCAGTCAAAATGGTCTTAGTGACATAAGATGCTGTCCTCTGTCCCTTCCAGGGTGGTTCCAGTCCGGTCTGTAAACCTTCAGAGCTCTCATATTTACATGCTAGACCAGCAGAAACGCCTGTTTGCTGCCCACCTGTGGCTAAGTGCCCTTGTGGGCTTTCTTACGGTAGTTGAAGCCTCTCCCGTGTGCCCTGCTTCATGGTGAGGCTGCGGTTGCAGCCTTTGACCCAGAGCCACCGTTGCCCGGAGAGGCTCTTGCTAGAATTGCTTAGGGAAACTGCGTCTTTCTTTCCCTCTGCATTTGCAGCAGGCATTGCTTTTCCCTCTTTATTAGAGACTGGTAGTCAGTAAGCGCTTCCATTTGTAAAGCGCCAAAGGGCACAGCCCTGTGGTGTCGAGACAGGAAAGTCTGACAATTTCAACAACCCTCAGCCAGCAGTGCTAGCTAGCTGGGGAACACGAGGAGTTGTAGGATTTTTCTCACGCTAAAAACGCCTTAAATCTCCTGGATGGTGTATAATAACGGAGAAGATTGCAGGCAACTAAAGATGGGACTTGTTCAGGGAACATTTGCAACAGTCAAAGATCCTCTGCTTTATAGAAACAGCAGATTAATTATATTGAAGTACAAGGCAGAAGCACTCAAAAAGCAAATGGCGTCTACCACACATGTACACCGTATGCTATAACATCCTTAGATAAAATGTAATGGAATAACTAGCCTGTACTAATATACCTTCAGTGAATCAAACCTCTAAAATAAGATCAATATGATTTTTTTCCTTTCAGCCAGTATAAGTGGGGCTATACAAGTCCAAATCCCTAAGTCTTGATAATTCTTTTTTAAGGGTGTTATAATTTTGGATGGCGTAGACGTCAGCACTGGTTGGGCTGGAGACAGAAGGCGGTTGAGTATCTGGTGAACTGTTAACAGTCCTCACTATGGCTATGCTGGCTGGAAATGATGGGGTTGTAATCCAGTACATATGGAAAGCATGTAGACTGAACTGGACCTTGAACAAGGCAGCAGTGAGCCCTGTTGGTCTTTCCCTGGAGCCGTCTCTGGCTGCTTCATGGTGGCATTGATTGGCTGGGGCCCATTTCATTTCCATCCCTTCATAATTCATTCCTTGAGCATATTTTAGGCAAAGAAGCTTCCCTAGCCTCATAGCCCCTTCTCTCCGGACTGCTGAGCTGCCACTTACAGTTCCCGTCTTCTCACCCCTGTACATGAGCCCTGCCCTGACCTGCGAGACAATCTGCAGGTGGCCAGCCATTCTGCTTGTTGACTTGTGATGTTTATAGTCTGCCTTGTAGTAGCTGCACAGTATTTTGTGACAAACACAAATGAAAATTTGGATCCAAGAACAAATGGGTAAGTGAGAGAAGGTGGGTGTTCCACGGTCACACTGCTGGGTGCCTGGATTGGCCCTATTGACACATTCCTATTCCTGGCACGGGCAGCACAGCGCCTGTGCTGAGCACCCACAGCTTGCTGGACACACCTGAATTCCAAAGCACTGATCGCAACCCACCCATCACCAGCCTCGGTGACCGCATTTTCTGTTCCATACTAGCGACTTTTATAAATGCTTCTCCAGTCACAAGCCAACTCCTCATGGTCATTGCAGCACTTAGTGGACTAGAGCTAAGAGTTTGCAGCCAAGGTCTCCCTCTCTCTTCTCTCCTCACACAACCCTTCAAATGATTGCCAGTCCTTTGGTGCAGAAGGGATGTGCTGAGTCCAGAAATCAGACATTTAAGTCCTGGAATCTTTCAGGTTCACAGCCGGCTTTGCAAATCCCTCTTTGTCTACAGGGCTTTAATCCGAAGGGCCGGTTTCAGCCACTCTTCAGTGATGTGATGGGGTAGAGGATTTTGCTTCTCCACCAAAATAGTCCCTTTGATGGATAGGATTGATCTCTTGCCCATCCACATTAAGAGAAGCAAGGAGAAAGGGGCTCGCAAGCTCCCAGCGAAGGGGAAGTGGCAAATTGACTGAAGGTGTGCCAGTTTGAATCAATTGTGCTTTTAATTAAACCCTACTGCAGCAGAAATTAATTGTCCCCCTTGACGGCCTGTGCAGAGAGGCCAATGGCTAAATTGGATGCAGAAAGTGAATAACCCTTTTCCTCTCCATCCCAGCTCCAGAAATACTTGCTCCCATCCCGTACCCTAAAACGCCCAGTGGTGGCCAAGCAGCACCGGCTGCACACCGTTGTCCCCTTTCATTCTGGGGTCTTCGGGGGACAGGCGGGTGGTTCGGGCAGAAGTGGACCCTGCCCTGAGCCACGTGGCAAGTCAAGAGAAGCCACCGCGTGCCGATCTGGGCCTTTTTCTTAGCCAGAGTAACTTGGATTCTCCCGCTAAATCTCAAGCCAAGAGCACTAACATTTGAGATGGAAACAAGTCCTGTGAGACAGATTTTGTTTAAATGTAGCAGAGTGTTTGTTTTTGGCAACACAGACCCTGATTTTGTTCTGAGGGAGTGAAAGCGGGTGGTTCTGGCAGTGGGAGCACTGAGGGCGTTGTGGGAATTGCGGGGAGAGCCATACTTGGGATAGCACCCCCACTCAGCACTCTCACCGTTTTTCGAACCCAGTAAGTTTCCTGCATTGGTGGACACCTAATCGTTCTTATGCAGCAAAGTCTGGCTCATTTCTGCTTAATCCATTTTTGACTAGCCAGGTACTTCTGGGAAATTCACAGTCGAGGCGAGGCGGCACACTTCTCTTGCTTTTCCACCAGTGGCCAGTGCCTCTGACGCAGAGGTTTAGTTGAGCTCTCTTAGCCAGTATCCTTTGAATGGCCTCTCTTGCCCTAATTGCCCAGTCTTGCAAACTAAGTAAAGTCATTAGCTCGGCTGGGAGGACCGCCCCCCCCGGCCTCTCCCTTTCTCCATCTCCTGCACTGCAGCACCTCGCTGCCCTTCCACACTTCCCACGCTGGGCCTGGAGGACTGAAGGGATGCAGATGTGGAACCCATCGGCATTCCCTGCCGGTTGGTGCGATCTGACCCTTTCCCCGACGGTGTGGCGCTTGGAGTACTTGTAAGGCACAGGGAGAAGGGACCCTGGCTCTGTCCAGATTGTTTAACACCAAAATGGGATGAGGGGAGTTCCACTGGACCCCCCTCGATCATCGAAAAATTGTGTAAGGAGGCCACAAGATTCACACAACGTGGCAACATGGCTCACCGCAACAGATCGTCATAATGTGTGAACCCAGACCACTTTCCTCAGGGTGGCTTGTTTTTTGTTGCCAGGCCACCCTGAGAACCCACACCTCGTTTTAGGGATGATTTTGCCCACAAAGGGTTGTCAGGGTCCAAACCCAGGAGAGCTGCTTGCGTGTGGGTTGCTTGGATGGGCTACACCGCTGCTTGGGTGGAGGGGCAGGAACCGCAGCTGTTCCCTGCAGTCTCATCTAGCCACCAGTGGTTCTACCCTCAGCCAGTGCCCAAAGACCCTTTGGAGTAGCTGCCTCTCATCCACCAGCTGTTTTCTTTTAGAGTCCCCCGAATTGTGCAGATGTGTTTATAATTTTTGTCAGTCTTTGGTAAATGCACAGTGTATAACTGCAGATGTCAGGTATGTGCAGTCTTGCTGGAGCAAGTTCCCTGTATGTTTCGGTGGTCAAAGGTAGCACAGGGAAAGGGGCAAGGGAACTGACAAGGCAGGACTGCTACAACCAGATTTGCGCGCAGCTGACTTGAGCTGGGGTTGGTGCAATTTTTTAAGACTGTGGAAGTGAAATGGGTGCACTTTGAGGAGCAGAGTGGTTAATGCAGGTCTGTACGTGTCCTCCATTTATCCATTTATTTCCCGGCTACTCAATTTGCATACATACCCCAGTCCAAAAAAGTGCGCTGTTTTCCTAGCAGCTGAAAAATAAAAGTGGACATGGCAGCACAAGATGGAGCAAGGGGGGCCTGCGCCCCCTGAACACCCGCCTGTCCATGGCGCTTCAGTCACTGTCTTCCGTGAGGCCGCCACCCTAAGATTTAAAAACAGACAATAAAAGCACTGAGGGACTTGCTCTAATTTCAGCCGTACAGAATCCAAAAAAGAGCAATGGAAAGAGGGAGGGAGTTAGTTTTTTTCCCTTCTGGAGTAGTTGCGGACTTGGGGAAGTGTTGAAAATGTCAAGGACACTGAAAACTGCCAGTTGGACCTTTAAAAGCCGGGAAAAAAACCATTTCCTCCCCCACTTTTGTTTCCCACCCCCGCTTTTGGTGCTTCTGACCCGTGCTACTATATCTCTGTCTTGCTTTACTAGTATTTCTCCCCAGACCTTCACAGCTGTGTGCAGAGCAGCCAAGAAGCAGCTCATCTCGTCAGTTTCATTGTATGTTGCCTACTCCAGTCTGGTGCACCTTTGACAGCTGACACATACAGCAAAATTGACCAGGTGCAACTAACACGCCAGACAGCCATCAAAACATGCTTGCCCACTCCCTAAAGACCAACACAGTTTGGTCTAAATGCACATCTTGAGGCTCCCCAAAGGATTTGTAAAAGCTGGACAGTGAAAAGTGATCAGAACAGGAGGGGGGCCATGGCGAGGAGACAAGATGGGTTTTGCTGCAAAATCCCCTGAGATAGGTGCCAGAGGTGACTGCGGAGCTGCAGGTTAAGGACAGGGAGACCCACACGCAGCAAACCCCGTTGTCTGTCAGGTGTACTGTGTGTGGTACAGTGAACACCCCACACTGCATAGCATGTCCACACAGGCTTCATGTGCCCATTGGGGACCTGCCCGTTGTGTAATCCCGCCCCCAAGGCATTCATTCAAGAGCTCCACGAAGAAGCAATTCGCGCCATGGCTTGTGGACCCCAGCAAAAGATCAGGTGCTTACCTTGGTTGTTAAGGCCTCAAGACTAGAATTGCAGTGAAAGTATTCTGCTTCACCGCTTGATGTGCTCAACTGTCCTCACAAGCAGTTTTCCTTGGGGCCTGAAAAGCAGCTTGTTCAGTTGGGACTTGTATCATGCTCAGCAATTTGACAGGAGCAGCAGGAACAGTTTCCCTGTGGCCCCTCTTGTTTGGTCAGGATTCAGGGCTTTCCCCCGCCAACTGTGCTGCTCTTGTAGGATTACTGGTCCAGAACTGCTGGATAGGCGCTTTGCAAGGCGGGAACCATCTGGCACTCACTCTGCCTGCAGAGGATCTCAGCCGGGTGGGGACTTGGAGTGATAGAGCAAGAGAGTATCAGTGTCCACAATCTGGTATCCTCCAGCTCTATTGGACTGCAACTCCCATCATTCCCAGCCAACATGGCATCTGTTAAGACCACTGGTCCAACTAGTCCAGTATTGTAGTGTTCCCTGACAGGCAGCTAATGGTTTTCAGAAAGATTGAAACCATATCCAGATGTTTCTTACTCATGACCCTGACCCAAGACCCCTGTTGCATGCAGCCTATATTCTCTCAACTCTTTATTACCGTATTTCTATGCAACCCTTTTCATCCTTGCCACAGTGCTGCAAGGTAGCTTAGGCCAAGCGTGGGTAGGTAGCTCACCCAGCGAGTTTCATGGCTGAGTGGGGACGAGAACCTGGATCTCTCAAGTCCAGTCTAACCACTCTGCCAAGCTGCTCTCCATGACCAGTGAGCGGAGAAAGCGCTTGGCTGCTCCCCCAAAGCAGTTCTCTGCGGGAGAGGCCAAGAGCCCTCCGTATCCTGATACGAGGGAAACCAGGGGAAGAGAGAGGGGATTCTGAGTGCTGGGTCCTGCCCACTGCACAGCTTGGGAAGAGTTAAAGAGCAGAGCGTCCTTCGCCGCAGAAAGCCCCGTGCCTCTGATCGCCGTGGATAATCACTCCGTTCGTTCCTGTGAGCCATCGTCTCTCTAAGCAGCCTCCGTTTGTCTGGCTCTGCAAAGTAGGCAGGTTTTGTCCCTTGCTACTCACGTTCCCCATCAATGAGAAAAATAGCACCGATGGAAGCCACATTAAGCCCATTCCCTGAGATTTATCTGAAAGCACTTTTGCTGCAGATAGTGATAGCATTTTTATGTTTATTGTGAGTGTCATTAGCAAAGCAGATTTAAGGTGGGACGTGACTGGCAGCACTCGGCTCCCCCTTTCCAATCAAAAAATGGCTCTATTAGCGCACTTGGATACGGCCTGCAAAGTGATGCATTGCCTGGAGCTGCTCTAAGCCCTGAGTGAGGTGGGGAGCTGATGGCTTCTGTGCTCTTTTCGTTTACTTGTCGCTTTTCTTAAGCAATGAAGCAAGGCGTTGACATTCTTGGAATCTCCTCCACCATTGCCCAGGCAGGAAACCGCTCTGCCCAAGAATCCGCACAGCTGGGATTGGGACCTGCTGCCCCTTGGCTGGGGCAGGAGTGCAGTTGGCACCCCAACAACAAAGTGTCTGAGTCAACAAAATGTGTCTTGCTGTGCATCCCTCCAAAATGGGTGTGTGGGTATTTAAAAAAAATAGGGTGCCACTATCTGTACTGGATAGAAAAGGGGCTTTGCTCCATGGAAAATACCTGCTGTGAATGGACACGGTCCCAGGTTCCCACAGCGCAGGAGCTCCAACTGAGCAATGCGCCTTGAGTACCAAAGACGGAGCGGCACCCTCTGTCCGGGTTTAGCAGCTTCTCTACTGGGTCTTCCAGTTACGAATCTCAGCAGAGCCGCTCAGCAGCCAATCTTGAGCCAGCCGGAGCAGTGGTCTGGCCCAGTCTAAGGGGGGGGGGGCAGCCACAGGTTTCCCCTGCAGATGTCCCATCCCAGCCGTTCCATTCCCCTGGAGCCCTGGGCCGCCATGACCAGGCAGTCAGGCAGGGCACACTGGACACCTTGAAGGTGGCTTCATGTGTGCCTTCAGCTCAGGCACCCTGAGATGCAGACGGAATTGTCCAACTCCAGCACAGCCGGCTGGGGAATCCTGGTGGGGAACACTCTTTCCCTACCAGCATCCACCGGATTGTGCCTCTAATCCCACCACGACATCCCTACGAGCCAGCCCCATTCCTGTGCTAATATGACTTGCGTTAATCAATGTCATCAGCAAGCAGGAAGCTCTGTGGAGGAACAGGCCTCAAGAAGACGAGACCTTCTGCACTCGACCCCCAGCAGGAGAGAGAGCCAGGGCTGGGGCAGAGAGCGGCTGTTCACAGAGGAAGGGGAGGAGAGGGCAAACCACAGTAAACACAGATGAACATGAGCTCAGATCACTGCACCTCCCCAGGCTATGATTTGGGGGCGGGTGGGGGAGCTTCCAAGCTGCGGGCCTTGGAATGTCAGAGCTGCGTTTTCAAGGCCGCTTCTGCCCTTGTCGGGGCCATCGTGCGAATATTGCTTTGCACCCTGCAGAGAGACGCTTTAAAACTGCATGTGATTGTCTTTGCTCTTGTTCAGACTTAAGCCTTTGGTTTGAAGTGCTGGTTTTTTTTTCTTCTTCTCCTTTGTGTGTGTGTGTTTTTCCCTCCCTCTCCTCCCTCCCCCCCCCACCCTGTTTTGTTTCTTCCCCCTCTGGCTTGCCAGGGCCTGGGAGGAGTTTCATGGCCTGGTGAACAGCGGCGGTCGCTGAGTGAAAGCGGTCGGTCCCTCCCTCTCTCATGCACCCAGGGTAGGGCCTCATCTTTATTCTTAATGATTGCGTGACACACCTCTCAGCCAGAGGCGCCCCCTCCCCGAGTGCAGACACACAACAACCCACCCAGGCGGGGGCAGTCCCTCCGTCCCAGTGCTCAGTCCACTTGTTAGCCCCTCAGCCTTAGGATCCCTCCTGCTTTTTCTTTTGACTAACTTCTCCATTGTTTTGAAGAAGCTTTCTTTTAATCTTCCTCCTTACAGCCCCGGAGCAGCATCCAGCGAATGCGCCCTGCAGGTTGCGCCGTAACCCAGCCATTCCCATCCCGGTGCCCGCCCAGTTCACTGGGAACGGCCCTGGACTGCAATTCCCAGCCATGCTGGTTGGGGTTGCTGGGAGTTGCATTCGAGTGAACCAGTGGACACCTGGTGGAGGAAGGCGTCTCTTGTTCCGTGTTGCCAAGTCTCTGACTTCAGTGGCCCTGTGAACGGGAGCCCCCCAGATGCCCTGGCCTTGGCATCCCTGTGGAATCAAGCCCCCTCAGGCTCTCCAGTGCTGCTCTAAAGCAGCCGCGCCAAGAAGCCCACTTCAGCCGCCTGACGCCACCAAAGAGCCCCTCTCTTTACTGAGCTGTTCCCGTCAGATTGGGGTCTGTTGGAAACAAACACCAGGCCCACCTTTGTAAGCTTGCCAGTAGATGTGCCTTCGCCTTCCCCAGGCAAGAGGGGCTTCTTGTGAAGCTGCACAAAATTTTCCTCGGAAATGAACCACATGGGTGCTGTGGTGCCTGGCCCGCTTGTGAGCCCACACGGCCTCCGTGGAAGGCCGCTGCAGCCCCAAGCAGAGGCATCCCGAGGCTGAGAGGTCTGTCTTCAGCACGCTTGTGTTGTGGGGAGTGGATGCCGGTTGTTGCAGAATGGAGATGTAGCTGCCCCTGCTGAACCTTGCAAACTCGTCACGTGCTCCAGGCCAGCACAACTTGTGGCCCAGCCATCCACGTGCAGTGCGCCTGCTCTCTGTTTTTGTTGCGTGCTTGAGGTTGCACAGACGCCGTGCATGTCGGGGGACGTGGGTGGGGTAGGGTGCCAAGGACCTGGCGGGGGGAATGCATGGCTGGGGGCCAGCTTGGGTGGGCCGCAAGTTGCAAAGTCCAGACTCGGCCTTTTGAAGTGTGCCCTGTGCCTGCCAGTTGGCGCCTCCGTAGAAGATCCTGGGTTGCGCCAAAGGTTTTCCACCTGTGGGGTGGCACAGCGCTGGGCTCCAAGCCCTCGCCACATGCAACACGAGCAAGACTGGGGCCAGAGGGCCAGCCCATCGCAGAAGAGCTGGGGGCAAGCGGCTTGGTTTCTGCAAGGCTCTCATTTTCTGCCCATGCATGGCCATTTGCAAGGTACTTGTATGACGGGGGTGAACATCCTGTGGTTTCCCAGCCTCCCCCACCCCGCAGGTCTGCACCTCCGAGCGTGTGCCCGTCATGGCCTTGAGCTGATCTGGTTTGATCTCCACAGGCTGCCCCCAGGGTTTACTGGCCCGCGCTCCCCCCAGGTGGCATGTGTTTGTTTTTAAGTGCTAGGCCAGTTTTAATAGGCCAAAGATGACTGAAACACTGCCTGTAAGGGGCGTTTATTATTAGAAAGGTTTTCCAGTGACCTTCCTGAACACAAAGCCATCGCTGTTTGCCAGGTTCCTCCCTCCAGGAGAGAGCCAAGTGCCCCTCAGACTGCAGCAGAAACTTTGGGTTGCTTGTGTGCTCTTGGAACACTAAACCCATTAATGGAGGAAACAAAGAATAAAGGCACTATAGCACTCAAGTGAGGCCGGGGGAACCCTGCTCTGTAGGTGCGGAAGCAGTACAGAAGTGGATGTTGTATCACCTTTCGCAGAGGTGACCTTGCTGCCTTGGCATTAAGGAATGACTGCAGTGGCCAAACCCCCCTGGTTCTTGGACTGAAGGCCAGAATTCCTGCCTCTCCCCAGGCCAGCCCAGCCCAGCCCAGCCTGAAACGGTCACCAACTTTACCAACTTGGTAAATTACAGTTTTCCCTTGTTGTGGGTCCCACCGAACGTTCTGTGAGCTCACGCAGTGCTGGCCTTGATGGCACTGAACTAGCTGCACTGCGAGCCAAACTGGCCCAGTTTTTTCCGGCTGGGGCTCTCCAGTAGCCCTGCTGGGCAGCCTTGCCAATCGGAGGTCGCTTCCCTGGGCATCGGTCGGGTCAGTCCTGGCTTGGCTGCCGATGGGTAAATTTTTTGGTACCCCTCATTCTGGGTTTTGTCCTCTCACCTCCTTTAGCCAAAATGCATTTTTCTCACAGGCTGCTTTGCAGGCAAAGCTGCTAGGCCCTTTTCAAAGACGCCACGTTGCTTCTTCAAGGTGGAGCTCAAGCTGCCTCGGGGGTGAAGCTGTGAGCACCGCCAGTGCCCAGAAGGGGCCTGAGAGAAAGAGGCTGATGCAGCAGGGCGGGTGGGACACACGTCACTGGGGAACCAACTCGTAGCAGACGTACGGCAGTGCTGACCAGTAGATTAGATCACAGGGAAGGGGCTGGACAGATCCCTTTCCCCCTTGCTGTTCTGCAGTGGAACTCGATGCAGGACTGCAGGCAAACACTGGGCCGCCTGGGGGAGGTCTAGCAGCATGCCCAGTCACACCACCGTGTTTTGGTCAGCTTTTCCCGTCCCGGGAAGTCACTCCCTCGCCAGTGCAGGTGGGACGGGGTAATCACTCATGCTCAACAACATGGTCGTCCGCTGGTCTAGGTCTCTGGAAGTTAATTTGGGAATTTAGGAGTATTTGTTCCATATGCAAAAACCCAAAGCAAGTTTAACCCGTTTTGTGCCTGCACTTAATAGCTTGAATGCAGCTGCTTTCTCTTCTGTGTTTACTCACTCACTCTCCTCCTTTATCTTTCAGAGATAACTCAAGTTTCCGAAATACCAAGATCACCCTGTGAGGAGGGGACGGGAGCGCTCCTCCTTCTCAGTCTGGTCCAGAAAGGGGGGAAGGGCCTCCCTGGGTGCCCTGCACTCCCTGGTTGCTGAAAGGTACGCAGGATTGCGGGGCCCTGCACCCCTCGCGGAAGACTTTTACACCTGCACTGAGGACTGGCCTTCTGTTACCCAAACATTCCGACTGGCCGAGCAGGTGGCTGTTCTTGGCGTTCCTCCGCGGAGCTCGACTGCCTCCCACTTCGCTTCTGCCCAGCACCGAGAGGCCTCTGCCGGGAGCCTCTCTCCGCCCAGGGCCTTCCAGTATTACAAACGTCTCTGCTCCAGAGGCAGCCTGAAGATTGGCAGGGCCCCTTCCACCTCTGCCAATAAATGATTCGGCCAGTCGCTGTCTCCACGTTGTGTCTGTTCATCAGTGCTTTTGCGGGGGGGGGGGGGGCACTTGGGGAAGGCCTTCACGGAGGGCCATCAGGACCCCTTCTGGGCCTCCCCACAGTCACAGACAGGTTGACTCCCCAGGCGTGCATGCACTGGATTGCACGGGTTCTTCATCTGCTGTGCAGGTGGCAGCCGTGATGCATGCCTGCTTTGGGGCTAATGAATGCATCACGCAGAATAGATGTTCAGCAGCTCTTAGCTGTGGTGGTGCAACAGCCTAGGAAGAGGAGTTTGTGGAACGGCCAGAACTCTAAGATGAGGGGCCATTGGAGCAAACCTCTGATTTCAGCCCTCGGCAAAGTCTCCGCCATTTCCCTTGCAGCACAGAAGCCACTTCTGCCCCAGGGATGCCACCAGAAACCACATCCCCCCACCCCCCTCCCCCGGTAGGTTGCCAGCCTCCGTCCCCAGGCACCCACCTGTGCGTTAGGAGTACTGATTGCGTGGGCAGAGCGAGTTTGGATGTGTCTCCAGTGACACTGGCTGAGAAAGGGCACGTGGCAGCATGACTAGGCGGTCTGGAGGGTGCAGCTTACATCGCCCTCCTTGGGGATTACTTCAGGCTAGATCTCTCGGTCTGCACTGCGCGTCTTTATGGAGACCAGCGTGGCTGCCCAGCAGGCAGGGGCGGTGGGCTTAGCCACCTCCCACCCCACGTGCAGTCTGGAAAACAGAGGCCGTAACTACTCCATGAGGGGTGGGAACAGATCAGAGCCCAGATTCCCCGTTAGGGTTGTGCAGTGATGACTGACCTCTCCTTTGGTCCCTTTGAAGCTCTCACCGGGGCCATAGAATTGCTCTCCAAGTGCTTGGAGAGCCCTTCTCATCTGGGACGAGAGATTTGGCAACGAAACCCGTATGTTTCAGGCCTACATCTGCAGGATCTCTTTTATTAAACCAGGTGTCGCCATCAATTGAACGAGCCTCCCAGGGATGTGCTCGCGAAATGAGGTGGGGACTTGCAAGAGCAGAATCCCCATTAGTTTCTGTCAGATTTGTAGCTGTTTCATTCCCAAAGGGACTTGAAGCAGAGAGCCGAATAAACTAACATGATTTTAGCTACTTTAAGCTGGCTTTTCTATTGTATGCACATGTGTGAAATAGAAGATAGAAAAAAGCTTCCAGGTCTTAGTGGTGAACGCTTGACAGAAAAGGTCACCTGGCTTTCTCTGCAATGCAGGAACAAGGTGGCTAATGATAAACAAAACTTTGTAGCCACAGAAGGAAAACCTAAAAAGCAGTAAAAGCACAGGCAATCAAAGCAATGCAAAACAGGTAAGAGGGATTAAAATAACAAATCTTTAAAGACCTGAAGAAAACTAATGTCTGTTGTGACCAAACTTCCTTAAGTGTTGACTTAAAACTAGGCACTGAGAAGGCCAAATGTATCTTTCTAGATTCCGTAATTGGCACCACAAGCAAAAAGGCCCAGCCAATTTTTCCCACTAGCCAATTACCTTGCAGTAATGGGCCCACAGGAAGGACTGAAGACCCTTAGGTAATTTCTCAGGGAGGTTTATAGAACTGTAGAGCTGGAGAGGACCAGAGGGACTGGAGCTCAAGTGACTGCATTTGGTTCACATGTAAAATATCCCTGTCTCAACCACTCCTGTCTCCGTGTAGGAAGGAATCCTGCTGAAACCCAGCTCGGCTGACAGTACTGGGCTAAATAGAGCAGTACTTTGGCTTGGAATAGAGCAGCATCTGCTGTTCCTGTGCAACTCTTGCTTAATGCAGGATCTGCTAGGAAGGATGTAAGTGCAGTAAACCATCTTTCAGGACGATGCAGACGAACTGGAAAGGATTCAGAGCAGGACAGCAAGGATGATCCGGGGGTTGGAAAAAAGCCCTATGGGAAGAGACCAAAAGAACTGTGCATGTTCAGCCTTGAGGAGACCGAGGGGGGAGATAGGATAGTACTCTTCAGGTACTTGAAAGGCTGTCACAGACAGGCCAAGATCTCCTCTCCTTCATCCCAGGGTAAAGTACATGGGATAACAAGTTGTAGGAAACCAGATTCACCCTTGATACCAGGAAGCACTTCCTGTTAGTTCAGCAATGGAACCAAAGACCTAAGGAAGTGGTGGATTCTCCCACAGTAGGGGCATTCAAAAGACAGCTGGCCATCTGAGAAGGATGGTTTGACTTGGAGTCCTGCAGTGAGCAGAGGGTTGGAGCCAGTTGCTTTTCTTGGCCCCTTCCAACTCTACAATTCTATGACCCCCCAATGCACTGAGGTTTGAAAGGCAGCAGGCGTGGGAAGGGACGTGCATCTCTTTTTGCACCTCTGAGACTCGAATCTTTCAAGAAGATGAAAATCTGCATTAGTAAGAAAAGTGCTTGCATCTGATAATTTTGTGCAATTTATTCTCTCTGCAAGTCATGTGCAAGGCCAAGGAAATTGCGGTTCATCAAAGGTGTGCTTGCTTCAGTAACATTAGAACTATCCCTTTGCCTCTCTGGCAAAATTCACCAGTCATTGCTCATGTAGGTGGGAAGGTTGCCTTTTGGGGGGGGGGGGGGATAAAAACAAACATTCACATGGGTGTGGGATGCTGCTACCAAATTGCCTGCACCCCTCTGGAATAACAACCCACAGGCTTTGCAGCACACTTCAGAATACTCTAAGTCATGGGTCCTCAAACTGCGGCCCATTGGCCAGATACGGCCCACCATGCCCATCTATCTGGCCTGCCTCAGAGGTTTTGGACTCGCTGGGAGAAAACAATCTCCGAGCGAGTCCAAAAGCTCTGAGCTGGCACAGGCATTCTTTAAAACTGAGCAGAGAGAGAGCCGGCGCCTGCCCAAATCGCAACAGCGCAACTGCACGTGTGCTGGCCCTCTCCCCCATTGCACACACATACAGAGCAGGAATATGGAATGGGAAACAGAAGAGAGGCGGGTGGAAGAGAAAGACGAAGACGAAGAAATGATTGAAGGTAACAAAAATACAACTTTTAAAATCTATTAATTATGTGAGCCCAGGGGTGGCCAAGCCGGGGTTGGGCAGGCTGGGGGCGCCCACACCCGCCACCACCACTGCGCCCACCGCCTTGCCGTGCCCACACCTGCTGCTGTCTCGCCACGCCTGCCACCGCCGCCTCACCGGCCCGCACCCGCCAACTCTCTTTCAACCCTAACCCTAACCCCTGTTGAAAAAGTTTGAGGACCCTTGTTCTAAATACTTCACAAACCTCACAGCACTCCTTGGGGCAACCCCGCAAGATCGGCAGACTATTTCTCATGTTTCTGCATTCAAAGGTTGGAGCAGCTGAGGCTACGAAGCAGTGGCTTGCCGGCTATTCAGTTTGCAAGCCAGGAGACTCCTGGGTAACACCTCAGACAGCTGGTCATCCCTTGAATACACACAGCGCTCTGATGGCCCGGCATTCCAGTGGCAGCATTCAGAAGTGCAGAAACTCCCAATGGCTGCCTCAGTAGTCATGCAACCAATGTGAATCCAAACCTGCAGGCACCTGCACACGTGCATTGTACGTTGCTGGGCTACTCTGTTCTCTTCACCAGCACCTGGCATGAGAATTGCAGGTAAGCTCGGACAGGACTGCGGCTGGGGGTCGCAGATGGTATCACGGTCCCTGCCGATCAAAGAACCTCGGTGTTTCGATCTTGCAAGCCCTGGCTCCCCTACAACGCTGGGTAAGTGGCAAATGAAATTCGGGACATGACCTTGACTACAGCATGCCACAGATGGAGCTGTTTCACGTATTTAATCCGCACCAGCCTGTTCTACACAACTAGTAAATTGACTGGAACATTTCCTTCTAGAACGCATGAGAGACTCAATCCATCGCCCAGTGGGTCAGGTCGTACATCCTGCATTTTGCAAGATGTACAGCCTGACCCATTGGGCAATTACTGAAGTCATCCATTATGTATTCTTATGCTTCTGAAAAGCAACCGGTTACAGTCTGCTAGTTTGCTGGCAGTGCAGTCCATTAAAGCACTCCATGGGCAGGGGAATCCTTGGAAAGGCAGCTGCTGGTGCGTCTGCTGCAGGGCCTTCTCTCCCCATCTTATCTGGGCCTCTCCTTGTCTCTCCGACCTCCAAGTGTCTCCCTAGATGTACATTCCACCCCATCTAGATGTAGCCTGTAGCTTCCCTGCTACCTACGGGCTCTGGAGTTGCTGTAACTGCGGTACTTTGCCATTTATTATTCAGATAAACACACGACCCCTACCGTTTCCAATATTGGTTACGGGGGGATTTGGTTTCTGTTCTAGTAACACTTGGGCGCGATAAGCCAACAAACTACCCATGTAAGGGGAGCTTAAACTGCCAGCTGCAGCCTCCTACCCGCCACGATGCATTAATTGTTTTGCAAATGATGGCACTTAAGGATTTCGTCTCGCTCCCGGTCCCAGCTGTGTGCCAGGCAAGTCGCAGTCGTTTAATCTGCCGTCGCGCTCAGCAGATAAGCCTGTACAAAGGAAGAGACCTGCTGTTCAGTCTGAAGAAGCCGCCTTCCCACAGCGCCTACCTTGACAGGATAAGACACTGACGGCCGCACACCACTTTTTTGTGCTGTACCCGCCCTCTGGTTGCCATTTTGATTCAGAAGGGACAGTGGACCTTTGATTTCTCAGGAGAATGCAAGGATATTTGGCAGCGAGTATGTGCAGAAGCCAGGGCACGAGACACCATCGTTGCAGAGTAGGAATGAAGATATATGCCGTGAAGCTGATGGCACAGCTATAGCCTGGCATGCCACAAGGCCTAGAGGTCGCTCAGGCGACCAGCCTGGGCCTGGACTATACCACAGGACTGAAGACTCCCTGCACAGGGGAAGCAAGACTTGGGCCTTATCTTTTCCCTGCCAACATCTTCTGTATTGAGGGGTTTTTATGTGCAGAAACGGGCCGCATGCACAGGCTGGCCACCCAGAGCAGCGGGGGCAGAAGCGCAGGCCAGGACCAAACCTGGTGGTCA